GTCCAAGCATTGATGCTGTCACGAAAGAGAAGAAGGACGAGTACACAGAAATAGTGGCGCGTTATGGTAAAGGAAAATAGGTAACTGAGAAAGATGACCGAAAACCTGACCAAAGAGTAAAAACTTTGGAGGCAGTGAATTCGAACCGAAAACTCCATGTTAAGAAGAACGTTCTAGTAAAGGGAAGGGAAGAAATAGTCAAGTGTACTGCTGGTATAAAAGTCAGAACAGCAATCATAATCAGGATATACTGAACAGTTGTCAGAATATTAGTCTCTCGCACATTTTCATGACAAGCCTCATTTACAGCATGTTTTGTTTTAATTGGAAACTCGTTTTATATCTTCAGCACTACCTTATTTTTAAGGCATTTTCCAGAGGGTGGTGGACAGTCATCTACCCTGGAAGAATGAAATGCGAAGGATGCAGTGGATATTAGAACTCTGAATATTTCATCCTCATGTTAAAGCATTGAGGACTAAACTACACTATCAACGGGTTTCACTTGCGTGGTAGCATGCTTAATTACGCACATGTCTGCTATTGAACAGCAGAGAACATTCGTCATCGAGCAGGTTTTGATTAAGTGTCCTGCAATTTGGTCATTGACCAACGTCCAAGCATAGATTTTTCTTATGCAGCTACCTGGCCGTTCATTTACCGCGAATGGAAATGGAGGGTCTAGCGGTAGCTCAGTGACTAAGTCATTTATTGTAGGGTTGGTAGCTGGCTTCCTGACCATTGATCAGCCTTATAAAATAGTGAAAAATGTGACATGCAATGCAGACCTCCCCCCCGCCAATCACTCGAACTCGGCAATGTGCCTTTTTTCATCTCCCTTGCCCAATGCCACGTTGCCGGATGCTGGCTACAGATTTCAATCTGTGACTATGAAGAGAAGGTGTTAGATAACTTGCGCATCAGTGCGTTTTATCATCTATTATCTTGCATTACAGGAAAGAGGTGGACGAGGGGGAAGAGTTAGGGGGAAGTCAGAACTCAAATGTTTGGGTTTGCATTCCCTGGACACTTGATAAATTGGGTTTACACCGTGATGGTTGATAGCGATAGTGGATAGTGATACCCGATCAGGCGGGTACAAGTGATTTGCAGTTACAAGATGCATCCATAAGATGCATAAAAACACGATGCCATTTCTATTGTTCGCAAGCCAAAAACTGGTTTAATGGCAAGTGGCTGATTGCATCGAAATTTCTTGCTCAATGGAAATAGCGGTTAAGATTAATTTGCTTCAGGATTCGAATCTGGCATCGTCAGAGTTCTCAGCCTACCTCGCACTACTGTTGCACTTCCCTCACCGCCTATCCTCTTCCAGATTCCTCTGCATTTTATGAGGCTGATCTCTGACCTTGAAGTAAGGTCTCACACTACGTCACATCAGCGTAGAAACCAAACGACCCCTACATACTGCCATGTCGGTCGCAGTAAACGAACGGATGGCTCCATGCTTGAATGGAATCGATGCTCGAAGCTGTCAACAGAACATGGTTTTCTAAACTAAGACTTCTCGTGAACGATGTTGATTCGCAGGTACAAGTACTTTCAGATGATAGTCAAGATTCTGAAGCGGTTATCATCGATCGAATGTCATCCACAAGTCGGCGCCATCGAGCGCAATAGATCCGCTGGCAGGAGGCCAATATGTTCTGCGTGCAAGTTGCTTGGTTTCGGTTTTCATATTCAGTTTTGAGGTCTTCGAATCTGATTGGCCACCTTGTGGTAAGAAACCCATATGATTTTCAACCTGTTTGAGCGTTTTAAAAATGGTATTCATAAAACTTGTTCTCAAGTATCAGGCGGGCAAACGACTTTATTGCATAAAATCGACAATGAAAAATGCTTTCGTGATCGGTTGTCAGATGCGAGACAATATTTATTTTTTTGGAAAAAATATATGCAAATTTGTGCCAAATTCATGGGAAAGGATTCGACTGTCATATTTCATATTATTCGAAAATTGCGGAAACGGACGCTGTACGTATGGTAATAAAAATCGATGATGTCTTAACCTCTGAAGCAGTGAGTGAATTTCAGAAGGGCTACTACTGCGACTAAGCTTACATCCTAAAACCGTGTAAGGCAAAGTGATAATTAAATTTTTATTAAATAGAATCTTAAAATGGTCTTTTCAGATATGACGTGTAAAGTGAACAGCTAGGCTGAAATGAGATGTTATCGTACAACTAGCTTTCATCCGCCCCGTCGTACAGAACGTAAAGGTGTACATGTTGTTCAATCGACAATGATCAGCAGAGTTATGAAATAATATAACGTTAATAATAAATAATGATAATAATAATATAAAAAGAAAAAAGGAAGTTTGTAACCGTTGAGGTTTTGGTCACCTTAACACTTTGGTGACTGGTACCTCTCATTTATGAAGCATATGTCGCAGCGCTGTAGCCCGCTTTTACGCAGTCAGCCTGAAATGTCTTAGGCTGACTATCCTGTCCATGTACAATACAAACAGAAGGGGTACAGAACCCAGCCTCGACGGAGACAGTTGCTGATTTTGAACCGTTTCGAATAACGCCATTTGCGAATGCTATCAGCGCAGAGTCACTGGATCTTTCATTGCAGCTAGCCGTCCATTCCGTGTGTTTGCTGGGATGCCAACATTCTATTGCGCAGGATTCGGTCAGAGGCTCTCTCCAGGTCCACCAATCATGTGTAACCGAACGAGCAAACTTCATCGATTTCTCAACAAACAGTGTTTCGCCTGACTTAAAGACACCTGCTCTCATTGATCATAGAATCAGCAATTCCGAAGCTCTCTTCAGAATAATTTTTGGAGACTCTTCTCGGGATACTCTGCAAGGTAATGCCCCAATATTTTGAGCAGTTTTTATTACCTCCCTTCTTGAACAGGGAAGTTACCATGCCTATTCTCCAGTACATCGGTGTCTTTCAGGTAGTTACTGCAGTTTGACAGACACGGTCAGGCACAACATGTGTTGTTCATCTAATGGTGCAAGAATCTCAAGGCGCGTTTCGTCAATTCCAGCAGCTTTGCCACTTTTCAAGCTTTTGAGAGCTTCTGTCCTTTTGTCTACTGAAT